ATCACGGCAGCCAGTGGTGACTTAAAATATGAAACACATTTTACACTTTGAATTTGTCACTACATTACACGAACAAAGTCATGGTCACAAATAAACTGAGAGTAAACCGTGACTTCCCTCCCATCTGCCCTTCTGTCGATCTTCTTAGCGGGCAGGCACCCGGAGACGCTACCATGATGACGGCATCTCGGATGAGGAGATTGATGGAAGAAGGATGTTTGACCTGGAGGAGAAAGTCAGCAGTCAGAGGTTCAGCTCTGACCGGATTGTTCGCATGGAGGGAAAAGGTAGGCGACTATAGAGGTCGTCATTGTTTGTAAGTGAAATGCTGTTGCTAAATTTACACCCTCAAATGCACACCTGAAGACGATTGGAGTCCAGGATTTTGTAGCCCCCTAAACAAGGTTGTAGTCAGCTGTTCCATTTGCCATTTAAGGACTCTGCTCACTGTACCAGTGCCCAAGCTTAGACACATTTATCGACAAGTGTCTGGCCTGTAACCACAGTAGCAATGAGGGAATTGCATAGTTACCTCAGCTGCCTCAACTCTCCTCATATAAACACAAAGGGAAGTTTTCCTGGACAAACTTCCAAACCACAAAGCCAGAACACCTCACAAAAAAAATCACTTAGTGTTGTGATTATGAACTTCATCTGAGAATCAGGAATCTTAAATATTGTTTGATCTTAACTGAAACCACCAGCAGTAGATCATAGAAAACTAAGATAAAATGAACTGGCATTTTTTCTTGTTTGTGTATTTCTCAGACCTTACGTACGAGTTCATCCAGAGAGGCGGCCTGAGGGACCCAATCCTTTTTGAGAAGCCCGATGGACTGGGAATCAAGTAAGCACACTCTTTGTTTTTCTCTCCCTCTTTGTTGCTCCTCGTCTTCATATACTTTACTAGTTCAAGCATTTTCTTGTCACATCTTTTGTTGACTTGCCTGCTCTCCCATAAGAAATCACAACTGATGTTACTGGACATATTAACCAAACAACGTCTATCTTGTGATTTGTTGTTCTGCAGGATGCCAGATCCTGACTTCACTGTCAACGATGTCAAGATGTTTGTTGGTAAGACTTCAAGAATTAATGTTAGGTTTTCCGTTTTTCAGTGAATCAGATGCTGGTACCCAGTCTGAGCTTCAGTCCTGGTACATTTATAAAAGCAGAAAGACTGTAAATAATGCTAATTATATTTTACTGATAATATGGACTAATCTTTTGATTAGTGATTTAATCTTAAATATTAAAAAATGTAAAACAATTACAAATAGTTCTTTTCCAACCCCTAACAGTTTAGAAATCCTAAACCACAAGGTATGCATTATATGATATTTATAAGTAAAGCTTAACATTCAGGAAAAGCCAGATAATGTTTCTGCTTTTCTTGTTCCGCTTTATGTAAAAGTACTAATTAGACAAAACCACATAATTCCCGTGAAAACTGACACATGTCCACATTTTTCATTTTAATGTTATGCTGTGTTGTTGAGACCTGCTGTTTTTATTATTTTACTAAACTGGCCTTGAAATATATTCTCAGCTGCTGTTTTGACCCGACTGTACTGGCATACTGTGAACCCTCTCAGGTAGCAGACGTATGATAGATGTGATGGATGTCAGCACTCAGAAGGGGACAGAGATGTCCATGGCCCAGTGGACACGTTACTACGAGACGCCTCCATCTCAGAGAGAGAAACTCTATAATGTCATCAGCTTGGAGTTCAGCCATACCAAGCTTGAGAACCTGGTGAAGAGACCTTCAACAGTATGTGTCCACGCTATACTTTGCTTAGTTTGAAATGAAAGCTTTACAGCTGAAAGTGTAGTGAGTGTAATTCTTTCGTCATCTTCCATCTTGTATTTCTGTGTGTAGGTAGATCTCATAGACTGGGTGGACAACATGTGGCCTCGGCATCTGAAAGAGAGACAGAGAGACTCGACCAACTCTATCAATGACATGCAATACCCTAAAGTACAGAAGTAAGTCCCTCGTTAAAGTTGTTCTCTGTAGGTCAGGTTGTCCCAGATGTGGCTCAAACATTATTTATCATCTCACTGATTTGATTTGAGTAACTTGACTTGAATGTAACCGCTGCTGGGGGTGTGTCCCCGCAGATACTGTCTGATGAGTGTCGAGGGCTGCTACACCGACTTTCACATTGACTTCGGAGGCACCTCAGTGTGGTATCATATACTGCGAGGGAGCAAGGTGAGGCAAGAAGTTGTGCAGCTATGTTGGAGACATTACAACATTACGTTTTCTGTTCTAGCCTCCTATTTTTTTTCGACGCAGACTCCTGCCAGCTGCATTTTCTGATCTTTTATAAAACTTAGATAAATGATCTGAAACCCTACGGGCAGAATGTGATGACACATCTTGAAGGGTTTCGTTGTTGTGTTTTTATAGTCAATAAGTAAAAGATGACATCATGCTGTTGAAGTGCAGAGGGTGTTTTGAATTGCAGGTGTGCTTTCTTAGGTGTTCTGGCTGATCCCTCCGACCCCTCAGAACCTGGAGTTATATGAGAACTGGGTGCTGTCGGGGAAACAAGGAGATGTTTTCCTTGGAGACAGAGCATCTGACTGCCAGAGGATTGAACTAAAACATGGCTGCACCTTCATCATACCCTCAGGTACACATTGAACTCAGCACTCACTTATTACACTGGTGGTCAAAGAAAGAAGTGTGTCACACTTAAAAATCGTAGTTGTTGTCAAGATGACCTGACATATGGTAACGTTCAACACAGACTGCTTCAGATATGATTGAGAGGTGTAAGTGATGTCATATTGCATCAGCTGTTACTTTCAGCTATATAAGCACGCTGACTTGTGTCAGGATGGCGTCTGGTGTACTATACCATCGCAAAAAGGTTTAGAAAGGTGGAAATCCTGCGTGATGTACTTTTCGAACACTAGTGCGCTGAAGAAATTTAGATTTAATGTAGATGTAATACTCAGGTTGGATTCATGCTGTCTACACCCCGTTGGATTCGATGGTATTTGGAGGAAACTTCCTGCACAGCTTCAACATTCCAATGCAGCTTAACATCTGCAATATCGAAGACAGAACGAGGGTAAGTGCACACACACACACACACACACACACTCTTCTGTAGGCTGTAAGTAAAGTGATAGATTTTAAAGCAGTACTTTCACCTCCACTGCAGGTACCGGTGAAGTTTCGCTACCCCTTCTTCTATGAGATGTGCTGGTACGTGTTGGAGCGCTACGTCTTCAGTCTAACCAAGACCTCCTACCTCACACCAGAGTTTCAGAAACACTCGCTGGGCATTGGTATGTACACAGGCGTACTACAAGTCAATCACTGTTATTTTTTTTTACTCTAAAAGTAAATATTAGTAACCAAGGAGACCAAAAACTGATATTTGGAGCGATATACATGATCAACAACATGTCTAAATCTTCAGTTCTGTAAATGTCTTGTATCACCATGTAATAAGAATTTAGTCAGAGTAATTCTGCATCTGGCTTTAAGAAGGTGCTTTAAATACAGATGAGCTGCTAGCAGTGCAGATGCCATCAGTCTAAACATTTGCAGATACCGTCTGAATGGGATGTAGTTCCTTATTTGAAACACCCAAACCTGTGACAGCAGTTTCTTAACTCTGTCTGCAGAGTGGTGTCCTCTGAATGAGGTGCAAGTCAGAGTTATTCATATGTATTTAGAGCAGTCAGGCAATCTACGGTCATCCCGGTGTGCTGTCTTGCCACCATCTCTGACTCGGACAGTAGTAGCCAGTCGTCTGTTTTATACTTGGGAGGAATTGTGATCAAAAGGATATATTGTCAAAATTGTAAAAAACCAATAGTTTATGCATTTGTAAAAATAATTTGTTTGCAAGTTATGTTTTATTTTGAGATTACTAGATTGGTCATAATTAAATGCGTAACTCTTCTTCTCTAAGGTCTGAAGTGCCCATCTGGCTCAGATCTTGCCACTGAGCAAGTGAAGGATGAGGAGGAAGAGGAGGAGGAGGAGGAGGAAAGTGGTGGCAGCGACGAAGAGGCCTCGGGACAGCAGAGTGATCAACCTCTAGCTAAGGTCCATCTGACCCCGCTTGAGGTGGAGGGACTGTGGAACCTGCTGGGTAAACTGGAGGCGCTGCCCTCGAACAAGAAATGTGTCCCAGCAGGGATACACAATGCTCCAGCACTCATTACACACATCAAGGTACTGTCCATTTGTATGTATCACTTTGCTGTTGGCTTATTAGCTCGTTTCTTCTTGATATTTAATGCTGTCTTGTTAATATTTTTCCTTTCTGCCCCACCACTCTTTGTTGATGCTGTCATGCAGGCACTACTAAAGGAACACGCCAGTGACACTCCCAAACTGTCCTACACAGGAAAACCCATTGTCAAGTGGCCAAAGAGGGTAAACAGTCTTCACTTAACAGTAAAGATAGGTGAAAGTACACATTTTCATCGAAAGAAATCCATAACCTGGATGACTGGAAATCGTTGCAGACAAGTCTCTTATATCCATATAGTTTTTGTACTTATGAGGAACAGTCAGTCCTGTATTATCAAGAAATGCCAAATGAAAAAAACGCCATACTCGTGTGAAAAGGCGTTATGTGTTCCTGCAGTCAAGTTCTATCAGACCTGGTGTTTGGAGCAAATATTGGATGTTGTTCTGTTCATTCTATTTTTTGTCCCTTTTCCTTTCTTTACTTTTCTGTTCTCATCCTCCAGCCCTTATGGTACCAGCCTCCTCCTCCTCCACCTCCACCTCCCCGTCCTAAACTGGCCTCTACTCCCATTATCCCGCGACCTCAGAAACCAGCTTCTTCCATGTCTGTGCTGAGGCGACGCAGGGTCAGGTAACAAGCTACATGTGTGTGTGTGTGTGTCTGAGTGCTTGTCTAGCTGTCAATGTCAGTCCGAGTTTGGGTTTTAAACCATTACAGGGACCACATTTTATGAAAGCAAGAACCTTATGGGGAACCTATGTGTAGGTTAGGATTTCAGTTAGGCACTTAATTGTGACGGCGAGGGTATGCATGATTTCTACGAATGTCCTCAAACAAACTGAACATGAAAGCTGTGTATGGCCAACAGGTGAAAGCTGCCTACACTTCAGCTCTGGAGGAGGCCACCACACTAATTATAACCACAGACGATATGCTGGCAGCGTGGAGGTCTCTTGCTGAGCAACTGATATCACAGAAGCTTGTGGAATGGATTGTTAGATTGGTCAAGTTAATGTCAGTGGCACATGTAAGAGTAAAGATGTTAAATCATCTCTGACTCATGGTGGCAGAAAACAGATCAGCGTCTGACATCAGATTGAGTCTGCTTCCACAAGTTGTTTTGGTCCTGCACCTGTAGTAAAACCTGCTTTTATAGGTAGATAAGCTAAATATTATTAATGTAGTCCTGTTATTGGTAATTATAAAAAGCTTTTCATGCCATCTGTCAGCAGGCCTGCCTAATGCACACTCCAAACCTTCAACAAAACCTGTCACTTTCAGTGTGTAGGTTGCTGCTTGGAAGTTGTTGTTGTTGTTGTTGTATGGGCAACTTTGACCATTTTAACTCTCACAAAGGTAATTATTCATGTATTTGTATGTGTTTTTCTGTATGTGTATCATCTTTTGGATGCCGTGTTACTCCTCTCTGCAGGTGTAAGCGCTGTGAAGCCTGTATGAGGCCAGAGTGTGGAGACTGTAACTTCTGCAGAGACATGAAAAAGTTTGGAGGACCAGGAAAGCTCAAGCAGACCTGTGTGCTACGACAATGTCTCTCTGTGAGTAACTGATTTTTCTTTGTTTTGTTTTGTAATTTTATCCCAAGAATGCATTTGCAAAAACTTAGATGCATTTGTGTTTACTTTAAGACATCAGGGGTCTTTCTCAAGTCTTTACATGTGAGTTGCAGAGCAAATGGATCAAATTTAGTAACTTTAATTTTAGGTATTTTTGATATTTTTTTCTAAATGTATAGAGTAGGCCATTCTGTCAGTGTCCATAACAGACACATAAGTACTCTTCTAGTTTTTCAAACTGCAGTATTCAACATCCTTTAACGCAAAACAAGTGGGTGATGAGCTAACAATAGCAACTACAGCGCTATAAATGGCAAGTTCAGCTGTTGCACAAGCACTTGAAATGAAAGTGTCCCAAAGCAGTTTGTCAGGACTACAGTGGCAGACAGCTCCATCCTATGGCCAAGCAGCTGGCCTGCTCTGAGCTGCCACATTTTGGCACTGCACGGGTGTTATGTGAAAAGTCAGCGGACAAGCTCATTGAAGAACTGACTCATGTCGAGCCTAAATATTTCGGTTCCTTTGGAGAATGCACGAAAGTAGAAAATGCAATAAAACAAACAAACATTTTTACAGTGGATCTTGGTATTCTGTGTTAATTTGAGGGGCTGTGGCTCAGACGGTAGTCATTTGAAAGGTTGGCCGCTCTGTGTCCTTTGGCAAGACTCTGACTTCCAAAGTTGCTCCCGATGGCCATCAGGTAGAGCACCTGGCATAGAAGTTCTGCTACCACTGGTGTGTGAATGGGTGAATGCTGTAAAGCGCTTTAAATACCACAAAAGTAGGAAGTGGAAATTATTAACCTCGTGTAGCTCAGTGTTAAATTTAACACTTGGTTTATGAGCTCCTTGCTTTGAGCTGAATGATTCATCTTTAAAGATGACTTCAAGCTCAAATCGTGCTAAAATCTGTTTGTACACTACATGACTCCAACTGAACATACATATTGTCATCTTGTGTTATTATATGACTTGTGTACTGTGCGCTGATTCACAGATTTAAATCCTGGAGTTGTGCTGTTCTTAAGCATGAACTTGTCGTGCATTTACAAAAGACTGTACCACTTTTTTTGTGACCTAAAATATTTGTAGATAACAACAATTCACAACAGCAGTATTTTTATTTTTTTATTTTTTTGTGAATGAACTTTTAAGAACTCTTTGTAAGTTAATCCTCCCGTCTTTGTAACCCACCCTCTGCCTCCTCCAGCCCGGCCTTCCTCTGTCTGCAGTGTGCGAGATTTGCAAGGAGCCCAATCAGGAGGAAACTGGAGACCCTTCCCTGACTCTGATGGAATGTTCCAACTGTGCACAAATAGTCCATCCAGCCTGCCTTACGGTACAACACGCTCACATACACACATTTAGTCCCTATGTGCTTTATAATGCACTTACTGTTCATCATTTCAGTGGCGTATAGTAACTGGGACAACATTTTTAGCTGAATTCTCATTTAGGCTCTATAATGCTCGCAAAGTTCCACAGTAGATCAAAAAAGTAGTATGAAATGTGTGCTGCTTCTGCTAACCACTTAGGGCTCAGCAGCTTATAGATGCAAAAGTTAGTCGTGCCATGCTACGCCCCAGTTAACATTAATTTCTCTTAATTTCTTTCATTTTTTCCTATTAAGAAAATACCAATAATCGTACAGTTTTGGTACTAGATGGATAAGTAGCAGGAGTAGTGATGAAGGTAAAATGGAAACCCATCTCTACTGCATGTGCAGGTCTTTTGACACCGAGACCAGGTGTGACTGCACTCTGTCTCCATCACAGTCTAGATCAGGGGTGTGTAATCCTGGTCCTCAAGAGCCACAGCATGTTTTAGATGTGTCCCTCTTCCAACACACCTGATTCAAATGATCAGGATCGTTATCAGGCTTCTGCAGAGCTTGATGATGAGCTGATCATTTGAATCAGGTGTGTTGGA